ACCACATTTATAATGGATCGATGGATGAGCCATTCAGCAAGAGACTTCTGGATATACCTATGGTACACATGGTGGCTTGTGGTCAAGGGGTGCCCCTGTTATAAGTATTCATAATGTGTCAGTGAGAAGTTAAAGAAAGTGTCAATTGTTTGCTGAAGATATTTGAGGGAACAGACAAGGAGATAAGGGAAAAAGGGAAGTGTGGCTCACCAGGATCCCTCCAGTTATTGATGAGCCTTTTTTTTGGTCGAAGAGGACAGGAGGCAAGGAGGTGACCTGTCACTCTGCAGTAGATGCACAGCCATGCCTTTAGTTGATGTTGGTGCTCCAATGTTATCCAACTTCATGGGCTCATCATGACCACTGAAGGTGATGATTGGGTTAAAAGACAAGGAATTCACAAGACTGTGAGGCCACGATCAGGGAAAAGGAGTAGAGACTCGTGGATGATCTGACTTCAAAGTAATTGGAGAGATTTATTAAAGAGATGACTGGGAAGAGTTGATGCTGGAGACAAGGAGAAAGCACTGGTAGAGTAGGACGCAGGTGGAGGCAGAGGGTTAACTGCATGGGACACACTGCGGCTGTAGGCTGACATGGGCTGGATAAGTGGAGACCAAGAGGTAAATGGTGGAAGTAGACTGGCAATGTGGAGGTTTGAAGTTGGCAAATAGTGGGATAATGAAGATCACACAGTGAATGATCTGGTGCTGGGCAATGGAAGGGCCAGTGTTTAAATACTGTAGGCTTGATTTTAAGACTGGAGACCGGTGTGAAGATAATCAATGACAAGTCAGTGTGTCAATGACAATACAGTATGTAGGTATAGGTAGTGGTCAGCTGTTCATCACATACACATGGGTAAAAGATAACAAATCACTATGTAGAATAGGACCATGATACTTCAAGACTAGGTTACACTAACCCTGCTAACATTATCTGCTAAGCCACTTTTTTATGGTTCGTATTGACAGCTGAGCTGTTGTCATAAGGGCATACATCAAATCACATTGTACCTCTACTCTATCTATTCTCAGGTCACTGCTCAGCTACAAAGAGTACATTTTGTAAATACGTTTGGAGACAGCATATTCTTTGATGAGAATGGCGATCCACCAGCCTCCTATGAGGTCATTAACTGGCAGCTGAGAGACGGAGAAGTCCATCATGTATCCTTGGGACATTTTGCTTCTGCTGTTAATGGTGATTATAAACTCAGCATCCTGGAGGAGGAGATTGTTTGGAGGACAGGAAAAAATGTAGGAATATTGTAATGCTAAACCATTTTGTATTTGTGTATCATTTGTGTTACTTAAGTACTGGCTCCAATGTCTCCTCAGATTCCCACATCTGTTTGTTCAGAAGTTTGTCCAGTGGGAACAAGAAAAGCACAGATCAAAGGAAAACCCATTTGCTGCTTTGAGTGTATTTCCTGTGCAGAGGGTTCTATAGCTAACATGACAGGTAAACTATGACAAATAAACATTTGAATGAAATGGGTTGCTTGGTCAGTACTTTGTAACAATTGATTAGGGTCAGTAAAATGCAGTGCATGTCTTCTAAAAACATAGGTTTGATGTTGGAATTTTAATAGTAAAGTAATAAAAAAAAAAAACTTGTATCATCACCCAGTCAGGACAAAGTGGTCACTTTGTTGACTATTGCTCTACTGTGCCTTTTGGGCCCTGGAGCTCCACATGGGTCTATCTTGGTATCTTCAACCTTTAATTGTATTTCATATCTTTTACCTCTCACTTGATTCCTTCAGGTGCAGTAGACTGTGTGCCGTGTCCTGTGAAGTTCTGGTCCAATGATAAGAAAGATGAGTGCATTCCCAAGACAGTTGAATACCTGACATACAGTGAGCCAATGGGCATCATCATCACTGTCCTGTCCTTATTAGGAGCCTCTCTGTCTTTGACCACCATGGTGATTTTTATCAAAAACAAACAAACTCCAGTGATCAAAGCCAGTAATGTAGAACTTAGTTGTTTTCTCCTGCTCTCTTTGGTCCTCTGTTTCCTTTGTCCACTGACGTTCATCGGCACACCCACAGTTTGGACATGCATGCTTCGACACACAGCTTTTGGACTGACATTTGCTGTCTGTATCTCCTGTGTTCTGGGGAAAACAATTGTTGTTGTCCTTGCTTTCAAAGCAACAACTCCTGGCAGCAAAGTTGCCAGACAATTTGGTCCCAAACAGCAAAGAATCATTGTGTGCGCCTGCACTTTCATTCAGGTTGTGATAATAATATTGTGGCTAACATTAAATCCTCCATATCCAGACATGGTTTTTCAACACAGCACAAAAAAGATCCTCTTGGAGTGTAACACAGGATCTGAGGCTGCTTTCTATGCAGTGTTGAGTTACATAGGGTTCCTCGCTGTCATCTGTTTGGTCTTGGCATTTATAGCCAGGAAGTTGCCAGACAACTTTAATGAAGCCAAGTTCATCACCTTCAGCTTGTTGATCTTTTGTGCAGTGTGGATCAGCTTTATTCCTGCTTATGTCAGCTCTCCTGGGAAGTTTACTACTGCCGTTGAAACCTTTGCCATTTTGTCTTCAGCCTTTGGACTATTTATTTGTATCTTTGCTCCTAAATGCTACATTATATTAATCAAACCAGAGAGAAACACTAAGAGACTTGTGGCTAAACATTAAAACAACAACATGTGCATTCTTGTAAGTTACCATTAATTTTAGACAGCAAGGTGACATGAAACTAGTGAATAAATGACCCATGTTGGAGAAGAAATGTTCTTCTCAATCTGTACTTTGTGGCTCTTTGTAGTATTTGTTCTCGCCCATGTCATGTGTATAAAATACCAAAAGAAACCTTAACTGCTTTAGGAGCATTTTGTTAATGGTCTTGGTCTTCATACCCTAAAGTGAATAAAGGGTCAGAAGATAGATTCATTCATTTACAAATATTTTTCCAATACGATCTTGGCACTGTAAAGTTAGTCTTAAGTGAGGAGATACCTACTTACACAAGAAACTGTTGACATACCCTCACGGATGACTATCTAACTATGGAATTGTACCTGTCCTAGCCAGAGATGAGAGATGGTCAGGTTCTATGTCAACCTGCAGTACCCTGTTGTCCTGAGTTCTTTCCCCAAAAATGTGCCTAAATTACCCAAAGGGAACTGCCGAGGGATTAATAAAGTTCTTCCTTTCTCTTTCTTTCTTTCTTTCTTTCTCTATCCATCTATCTATCTATCTAACACACACCCCATTCACACCTTAACCATTGAGATCACAACTTTCCTGCCTTTGGAGTTTGGTCTGGTCACCTACTTTATTTTACCACAATGACCCTTACTTCAGGTATTCAGCCTTTCTGAGGCTAAATCTCAGAAATTTCCAGGTATAACATCATTATGAAGCTAAAACAGTTCAGTTTCCAATAGTGTAACTGCTTTGGGTAAGATGATAAGAACCTACATAGACACATTATTATATGCTTTCATATATATATATATATATATATATGCAACATTTTTAATGAACCGCATTTTTCTCAGTGGAATCTTTTAGGCTATCACAACAGAATAGATGCTACAGGTTTGTAGCACATGTTTTTTTATTTACACAATGTTTAGAAATACATTATATGTGAGAAAAACATTCTAATCACACATGATTTGATAATATTCTTTTAGTCATTACATATCTACCGTGCCATCATGTGTTTCTTGCTATTTCTGTCCGGTCTCAAAATAATAACGTAGCACTTTGGAGCAAAAATGCAGAAGAGAAGTCCAAATGCTGAAGCTAATATGGCAAAAATATGAACGGCCACTGTGAACTTTCCAGGTGTGCTGACATAAACAGGTATAAAGGTGATCCACACTGCAAAGAAGATCAACATGCTGAAGGTGATGAACTTGGCTTCATTGAAGTTATCTGGCAGCTTCCGAGCCAGAAAAGCCATCAGTAGACAAGCACAGGCCAACACACCGATGTATCCAAGGACACACCAGAATCCAACTTCTGAACCGGCGACACACTCCATGATGATGGTGGCGCTGTGGAACCCTATGTTGATGTTGGCATGTGGTGGGTTGGTGACCAGCCAGATGAGACAGATCAGTCCCTGAGTAGAACAAAAAGGGAGATTTAATACAGTTTCAAACACGATCCCAGAAAAATAATATTTGGAAACCAATGGTTGTTCAACCTGGATGGATGTTCCTACAACTACACTGGCTCTCTGTTGGTTGGGTCCAAACCACTTCATGACGTTACTTCCTGGCAGCGTGGCCCTGAAAGCCATGAGGACCACTGCCGTCTTGGCCAAGAGGCAGGAAATACAAAGTGCGAAACTGATCCCAAATGCTGGGTACCTGATACGACAGAGCCAATCTGAAGGTTCTCCAATGAACAACAGGCTGATGAGAAAGCACACAGCGAGAAAGAGCAGGAGAAGGAAGCTCAGCTCCATGTTGTTGGCTCGAACTATTGGTGTGTTCTTGTTTCTGAAGAAAATGATGAGGAAAGACATGGAGATACAGGCTCCAAGGACGGAGACACCACACAGCACAGCACCCATCACCTCATGGAAGGACAGGAACTCAATGGTCTTTGGAACACAGTGGTCTCTAGCTTTATTGGACCACATGAATACTGGACAGCGGTTGCACTCCAGTGAATCTGGACATTAAGAAAGAGAAAATCTCTGTTTGTTTTATCAAATAAACAGTTTGTCACCTGTTGGTATAACATTAGTGTGAAGGCAACACACCAGTGGAGTTACTGACTTCTCCCTCAGCACAGGGGACACAGTCGTAACAGCAGATGGGCAGCCCCTTCTTTCTGGCCACGCGGAAACCTGCAGGACAGCTATCACTGCATACAGACCGGACAGCCTGAGAGGCAAAGGTCAGCCACTCAGAGACTCTTAGCCAAAACCACCACACTACTGTTTCTACTGTGTTTCAAATGTGTTTCAAAACATGTTACCAGTGGATCCACCATTACAACTAAAGATAATAATATACTAAGTTTAACAAGCATACCACAGCACGGTAGAAGATCAATGCATTCATGCAAAAGCAAAATTAGAGGTTAAAAGCTAGGGGATCTGTCAAAGAAGCCCAAGGGTAAATCAGTTTATTACTTACAACATTATCATAATTAAGGAATAAGTGATCATTATAAAAGGCAAAAGTTTTAGGAATCAGCTTCTGGCTGCACAATAACCAAGAACAAATATTCAAGTAATCCAAAACTGTCTTGTGTTTGATTTGGAACATTATAGTTTTGTGTACACTTTCTTGCAAAAAAATGTTATGTTATCTAAATGTCACATTTAACACAAAAAGAAAGTAGTTTGTGGTTACAGGTAGCTGACTTCCAGATGAGGCCTGAACAGACTTTTTGCTCATTAGTTCAAATTTGGTAATTATGTCACGTGCGGGCATCGCAGGGAGCAGGCAGGACCCAAATGCAGTACTGGAGAGACTCTTTCTGGTGCAGGAAGTTTAATTAACAAAGTCCAAATTAACAAAACACGAAGAACTACCAGGCATGGAATTCTCGAGGAACACGAGGAAACAGAGAGTAGGAAACTCACGAACACGAAGATCTAACACAGTCACAATGATCAAACACACACCACCAAAATCACAATGATCCAACCCCGACAGAGTGAGGGAGAGGGGTATATATACACAGGGAACACCAGGTGACACAACTGAAGCTAATTACCAAACAGGTGAGTGTGATCCCATGATTACCCCACAAAGAACACAGGAAAACACGGAAACAGACAGACATGACAAATTAAAGCACATACAAATTACGCTGCTTCAAAGAATGAAACAGGAGATCCTTTGGAGACCTCAATACTCTAATGTGTGTTATGAAATAAACCGACATGCTTACTTAATATTAAAATAAGATCAGCTTTCAAACCAACACAAATTTTAATTTTCATAAAAGAAATCTTAACTTGGTCAAATTATGCTGTGCATAGTTTAAAAATGTATTATTCAATTTGGTTGATGTACTCATCAGCAACACTAACAGCAATCCCAGACTCAACTGCGGCCTCAAACCTGTTTGCACAGTAAAACACACCTGCTTCCCATGAGGCCACTGTATGAGAGAGTGGTTTAGAACCAGACTCCGTTCATCAGGCAGCGAGGCATCATAATAACCCACTTTGACTAGATTAAGAGAGCCGTCTGGATTCCTGTGCCAGTTCATCAGATCATAATAAGCCACAGGATCACCATTCTCGCCAAAGGAAACTCTGGCTCCCATCAGGGAAAAGTTAGCACGTCTCATGTAGTGAATAAGCTGAGAAGAGATGAAAATATCTGAATTATTGTTTGGACTTTTCACACACTTAAAACTCTATGATCTGAGAATACATATTTACCAGTGGACCTGGTCGATCAGTGTTTCTCAAACTGTTTTTCTGGGCACCCATTTTTTAAAAGGCATAGATAGATAGATGATAGTAATGGTCAATACTAGAATTCTTTTATTTGATATGATACCAATTACTTTTTTGGCTTTTTTTTCAATAACAATATTGATACAGTCTAATTAACCCAATAAAACAAATGACAAATACTGACTATTTAACAACTTTAATATGCATTAGCCATAACAAAATATTTCATAAGGTAAATAGTTTAATTGTTACTGTTAAGTGGTCATGTGACATGATTGGATCAGTGCAATTTTACCAGGTGGGAAGAGGAGTATAAGGGGGAGAGTGCACTAAAAGATGTGAAAGAGAAACTTTTTTTCCAATTATTAATTAGTATCAATACTTTATGGGAGTATTTGATACCTAGTCAATACCCATCAGTACTTAGTCGATTTATAGATACCACAGAATCGATACCCCACCACCGGTAGATGGTGGTGAAGTGAGGCCAATGTTGTGACCAGGTTTAGCACGGTCTGGGAGATGGTGTGGGCTACTGCAGTATTAAAATGCCACATGCTAGCATAATCGCTAACATGCCCACTAGTGGACAAGTATTCTTTTCCACAACATTACGTTCGTTTTTTGTTATCGATTTGGTTATATATTCATTTTGGACGTTTAAATACATATTTTACCTGAAGTTTTTTTCTTACCTGCCAGGTTTGAAAGTTCTTTGGATCTGAACAGGTTCTATTGATAAAAGGACCTTTTCCATCTTCACACTGACTCATGTCCTGCAGGGCGTGGGCCACCAAGTAAACTGCCTTGTAGACGTTGTAAGAAACCCGTAACTGCGACACATCAGTGTAGGAGGAATTAACATCTTCCAAACTCTCTGTTCCAGTGCATGGCGGCCTGTCTTGGTATTTAACCCCATCGGGCCGACCATTCACTGAATTGTTGAGCCAACAGTTAAATGTTTCCTCCCAAAACTCTGTCAAAAGAGCAGATTTATGAACAGTGGAAACGCTCAGGTTGAGAAGATGCTGCTTCAGCCCTGGAATCACATTTGCTCTCTGAATGGCAAATCCCAGCGTTCCCTTGAGGAGATCAGCATTGTTTTTCCACAGTGAAGTGCCAGTGGACCAGGCTTCTCCAGCAATCCACTGCAAGTCGGTCAAATTACGAAGA